AATACATTATCCATTTCAACACATGAACTCGACACAGAGACCAAAGAATCCAGCAGACATCTGAGACTCCGTCAGACTCGCATCTTTGGAGCCGAAGCAACAGTTGGCGCCGGTTACGTCCCGACAAATTGCCTTCTCCGTTGAAATCCCAACAGATCTCTCCATTACATTTCGTCGCGGCCGGCGTCGCCCTTTTCTGTTTGGTCTCGGATTTGTTATCGTCCACCAACAGGACAGCTAGTGAAGGGGAGGAGCGGTCCGAGCGACACCGAGCCGACAAAAAGGCGGACAGGGATTAGAGGAGTGATAGTTGGTAAACAGCGAGCCCGTGCAGATGTTTCAATTGGTGCCGACGGGAGACGAGAGCGAGATAAAGTGATTCTTACGGCAGATTGCGAGCAGAAATTGCGTCGGTGGTATTGCGATAAAAACGCAACAAGAAATGAGATAAAATTGAGCCCATCTAAATTATCTCAAGAATCAAAACTTGGTGTCCAGAGTAGTTCAATAACACGACGTTCGTTTTGGTAGCACAGGTTGACGATAGCAGTAATAGACGACTCTGGCATGAAAAATTCACAGACATCGAAATACAGCGTTGTTGTCCGTGATGTCCAAATGCTAACAAAAAGTCTTTCCGGCATTCGTCTTCCAAGTTCATATGCCACCTTTCAATTCAATTCTGAACTTGCTTCCACAGCTGGCCACATCCGCTCATCTCACCAAGTTAAAACTCTGCACTCGTACGCGGAAATGTCTCTCACATGTCCTCCCAGGAACTGCGCGTCCAATATCCTCCCGCGAGTTGTGCGACCGTTTGGATCAGGAAGCCCCACGTCACCACCTGCGTCCCAGTCATCTCTCGCCACAGAAGCCCCCTGCTCCACTACTACCATCCACTCCCCTCTGACCCTCTCCATAAGACCTCCCGGTACCATCTCATTCCCTACATCACGTCTCGAGGCCCATCTGCCCCGGTCCACATCGACTCGCTGCAGGACGGACGGTGACATACAGTCACCTATCCATCCTCCCCGCAGTGCTATCGTAACATTCAACGCCGGCCGACCCAGCTGCGGCTCCAGGCTGCTCCGATAATCACACTTCAGACACCAAATATCACACTGCTGACACCAAAGATTTCACTTCTGATACCAAATATTCAATGCCTGACACCACTTATTCTACCCCTGATACCAAATTCCCCACTTGTGAATTGTGGCATAAAATAGTTAATTTCTTATGCCAAATATCCCACTTCTGACGTCAAATATCCCACCTCTGACGCCAAATATTCCACTTCTGATACCAAATATCCAACCAAATTTCCCACTTCTGACACCAAATCTCCCAATTCCAACACCAAATCTGACCACCCGCGGTGGCACCCCTATCGACTTTTGTCACCCCTTTGGCCTGCAGCGACCGCTTTCGGCACCACCGCTGGCCAGCCAGCCGGATCGCTGGTTCGCCCGCGGCCATCAATATCGCCGCCAGAGCGCCATGAGCGCCGCAATCGCCGCGCCTGCGGCAATAGTGGCGCATTCACGTCTCATTCGCCACCGTTCGTCGCCGTTTTATCACCGTCCACGGCGCCAGCGGCGGATGGCGGCGCGGGGGCGGCAATATCGGCGCGACGGGCACGGTCGTGGCGCACCGCCCGGCGGCAAATATCGGCGAGCGGCGGCGAAATTCGGCGCAGAGGTGAGGAGTAAAAACGTCGTCACGGAGAGGTCCTACCAGGAGAAAGACAGATGAGATAGCCCAAACATCACCAAAAACCGACATAAGCTCGGAAAGTAAACAGAAATAGCCACCACAGGCGGATGAAATGTCAGCGGGACGACCATTATGGAAATAAAAACCACTCCATTTCATGAAATGCCAGACGGAGCTGAGAACGAGCACTGAATTCCCGAGAAGCAGAAACTTGTGCTCACGACAGTCACGGCTGGAGCTCTGGTCCAAGATGAATTCGTCTGGGGTCGTGCCGGCGGCTGGCGGCGGTCGTTGGCCGGGGAGCATGTGGGTTGGCAAGGTCTACCAGACAGGGCAGCCAAATTACCTTGTTCTTTGGCACCAACGCTATCACCAACACCACCGTCACCGTCATCAACACCCCCATTGATGATACCACCACAAGCCACCACATGGATCCTTATATAAAAACGTTACCAAAACAAATAAAGGCCAAAGAGAGACATAAGTCAACCGAGCGAATAAAGCCGGAATCGAGACACTCTGTCGGTCGGCACACAGACATGTGTGGCTGATGACCATCCCAACATTAATCTCCGTCAGTGCCGACCTCTTCACTCGTCGGTGGGTGGACAGATCAGAGTACTGTGGGCGTCACCATCCCAGCGAGCCGCCAAACCACATAATGGCAAGGTTCGCAGGCAATGTCTCCCTCTATATCCTATCATCCTCCCGGCTCTGAAATGGTCTCATTGGACCGAAAGGGCCTAACCCAACAAAACAAACAAACAAACAAGGCAAGGGTACGCGAGAGTCTCCCGCTGGCACCAAAGCACCTATGTTAGCTCATCCAATAGAGATTTAGCAGCGGAAAACGTCGTGAAGACTGAAGTCGTAGCCAGGTTTGAGTGTGACGACTTTAGGCTAGCGGTGGGCGGCGGCGGCGGCGGCGGCGGCGGCGGCGGCGGCGGCGGCGGCGAGGGCGAGGGCGAGGGCGAGGGCGAGGGCGAGGGCGAGGGCGAGGGCGAGGGCGAGGGCGAGGGCGGGGGCGGCTGTGGGCGCTGTGGGCGGCTTTGATGGTGATGGCACACTGGCGGCGGATGCGAGGTAAGGTAATGTCTCCTTCGTGGCTCCACTGATTATCACAAACGCCAGGAGTCTGCCGAATATCCCCTTCCCCCGAATGTGGGCGAATCAAGGGGAAAAAACTAGGAATGAAAATAAAAATAATTATATCCTAGTGAGAGACTGCGGTCAGAAAATGAAAATACAATATAACTCATGATGAGTATGTCGGCCTTTATACCAGCTGACAAATGGTTGATTACTAATGCATTGTAATGCAATCACCATCGGTACGTGAGCAACCGCGACCCGCGTCTTAACAGCAAACAACATCCACTTCAATCAAAAATCCCAGCAGGCAGCAACAGCAGAAACCAACGACCAAGAACATTGAACAATCATCCATATGCAGCCAAGTCGTAATAAACCAGCGTGAAACACCGATAGTTCCCAACACCACACTTCAAAATTACCCAACTTACCACATTGACTTGATACATCTCACCAGTATCTGTCACCAACAGCGGTTAGGTTCCGGCATCAACTGGCCACCGCAACCGGGTACTGAATAAAACAGTTCCTGCCTACTCAGCTCGAATTCCCCGACTTCAGCGACCGATCGCGGGACCAGCTTCCCGACCAACTTTGTCAGTCACTCTAGGTGAGTTCCGCTACCAAGCAGGGTTGGCAGGGGGTGGCAAAAACTGGTTTTTGCCAGTGGTTTTAACCGGTTTAAACCGGCTGGCAGAAACCCTGGTGGCAAAAACTGGCAAAAACTGGCAAAAAATCAGATGGCCAAACCTACAACTTTTCTAGTTAGGAATGGATTTGAAATGTACAGAAATGCATTTAATGCATTTCTGGTAGTTATATAGATGCACTTAACATTCTGAAGTTGCCTCATTACTTATCCCTGCTTAAAATGTCTATGCAATTATGCATGTCGGTAGACATCCACAACGGAATGTATTTCCATGTAAGGGGAGAGTGGGACAAGGCGGCCTCGGTAAGTAGGGTGTCATGCGGTGCCGTGCGCATATCAATGGCAGATGCCTCTTCGCACTTCTGATTGTGCAGGACTCACCCAGTCACCCTTGCATTGGCTCATTTATTACCCCCAAAAGACATCTTAATAGCTCCTTATGGATAGCCCATGAAAATGTTTCTGAGTTAGGTATGAAACATTTCAATGGTCAATGTCACTTCTGTTTGAAAGCATAAAGCTTTCACCGAATTCTCCTTAAAATGTTTCCTGTTCAAAATCATGTCTAGGCATAGCATTGTGATATTCTGAGTTTTTGCCAGTTTTTGCCACTTTTTGCCGGTTAAAACCGGTTTAAACCGGCAAATGGCATAAACTAGTTTTTGCCGGCAAAAATGCCAACCCTGCTACCAAGGGGTGACAGTAACTTCTTGTCAGGCCGGACACGGGCTCCACACGAGGCATCAGGGGCGATTTGGGCGACTTCTGCGGAACCCATGAGGCTCAGAGTTACCGAGAATTGAACGGAGAACCGAGCAGATGGAGAGGCATAGTCGCTGGGGAGTTGAGGGGTAGAACCTACACTCGCGGACCGGTGCCAAGGGAAGTGGACCAAGTGATCTATCTTTCATGGACCCAGACGGAGACGAGGCCCCAAAAATGTCGCAAAGTTGGTCTGGATATTGTCGACAGTCAAAAGCATCGAAATCCTTCTCAGACTTGCCTTATAACGAAGCGCCGGCTTTAGACTAATGGAAAGCGATATTCAGATTTTCATAGAGTTACGAGCCAATAACGCCCTCTCAGGCATTCAGGCGATACGGGGGCGCATTATTCCAATGTCGTAGCACATGCCCGTACCAATATCCTGTCCCTGACGACATCTTGATGATCTCATTACGTTCGAAATACGTTTTCAATTCTGCCGCTATGAGTATTCCATTCAAAACGTCCCCGTTGCATATTCCCCAACAGTTACCAACCCAAGGCCATCGCCAGCCCGTTAGCCAAGTCCCCAATGTCCGGAACAGAAATTTGACGTCAGCGCCCTCGTGGCAAAATTCATGAGTCTCCTCCCGGAGGCTGTCGGCGGGCATACTTTACCGCCCGAACGGTGGGAAAATGGCGCCAGATGGGCAACTTTTCCGCGCGCCGGATAAACTATCGCCGCCCGGCGAAGAGTGATTTATGTGTGGCGCGTGCAATATGGGTGTGTGGGCGCGTCAGATAGGCCACCTATGGACCGTGAGAGCAGTCATGACGTGTGTTTGATGGCCCGCCGCTGAGGTACGAGCGAACAACGGGATAACGACAGAAGAGATATGGTGTATGGCGCACGCCCGAACGGCGAATAGCGCAGTAGGCTGGATTGGGTTTGGAGAAATGGCGGTCAAACTGTACTACTTCGGTCATGATATGACTGAAAGGCCACGTAAATACCATTCGCCGGAATACAACTGTGCAGTAAACCAGCGGGAATCCGCCCTTAGCGGCTGCAAACTCCAGCTCGTATTGCTCATTTCATCTTGCCATCATTCGAAGCTATATCATTTCCAAAGCCGGATGGCTTATCAGTGACACTTATCCACACAAAACAGGGTGTCATCACGTGACTTCCTCGCACCAATTTCCACCCATCACGTGACTTTTATGCATCACCCAGCGTTGAGTCACGTGACCCACCTGTGGCAGCTGCTGCAGAGTCACGAGGCCGTCCCTGAGGTCTGTCAGAACGCCGGTGAGTTCCTCAGGTACGGACTCTGCTGCGGCAGTCAGTAGAACTTCACCCAGAGAGCGTAGAACCGGCTGGAACACGGGGAGAGAAAAACGACGGTCAGTTCAGGTGGAAGAGATACCGAGAGAGAGAGAGAGAGAGAGAGAGAGAGAGAGAGAGAGAGAGAGAGAGAGAGAGGGAGAGGAGAGGGAGAGAGAGAGAGAGAGAGAGAGAGAGAGACAGAGACAGAGACAGAGACAGAGACAGAGACGAGAGAGACAGAGACAGAGACAGAGACAGAGAGAGAGAGAGAGAGAGAGAGAGAGAGAGAGAGACAGAGACAGAGACAGAGACAGAGACAGAGACAGAGAGAGAGACAGAGAACTGGCGAGGGAGAGAAAAAATAGGAGATAATAGGATAAAATAGGAGGACAAATCGGCAAATAAACGACAATGCAGAGACATTGCGACATTCAACTGGCAAAAGCAATCACATGATAAATGTTCGGGGAGGAATGCCTCTTGATCGTTTTTCAATAAAAAGCAGCGGGACGTACGTAGCGGTAATCAGTCACCTTGTGTTATAAGACAGCCTGTTATCAATGAGCCTAGCTACAGGACGGAATGCGTCTACAAAATGACAATAATAAGGAACGCGCACGAAGCTATGTAATATCGTGAGACACGGCTTGGCAAAGGACAGATAAATTTCACATTTATTAGCGACCCCCGTCAAATGTCTGACGGCGGAGACGCAATAAGTTTCGACGACAGCAATATGAATTATCACACGACGACAGCTTTACATTATTACTTTGCTGAAAGAAGCCAGCATAGCAGAGGGGGATTTCAAAAGGCTTTGATGCTCAACAGAATTTTAACTAAGATTAATCTGGATGAGGTAGAGTAAGACCGTAATACTTTGTACCGCGAAACATCCTTCGGTCGCATCGCCGTGAGTGCGTCTACCAGGTATAGGTAGGTACTGACTACATACATCAAAGACCATAGCAGGAAGGATCAAACTTTGCTCATTTGCGCTGCAGATGAGATGCAAAGAGTGAACTTAAGAAAACAAACATCCATGCTTGCCCAGGATGAGCTTAAAACGTCTCGTAAGTCTCATCAGAAACTAGGGCATCAGTTTCCGAGAAGTTTTGCCTACCTCAAGCCCCATATTGTCTAAGGACACACTGAACAAGTCTGTCGACTTTGTACAATACCTACATACCACGCTAATCTTCCTCTCCCGTTTTGGCACAGAATCTAGGACTTGTTCTGTCACTGTATTGTCATTCAGCACCGTTTACCCAGCACCGAGTAATGTCCCAAAGCCCCACCCCTGCATTCCCCTCCCCACCGCCACAAGGGGCAGGATATCACTCCCCTCACCCCCCCCCCCCCTCCAACTCCCTACCGCCCATCACCAACAAATCTGTCGGTCTCAGGTGGCGAACTGCCCACGAACCCTCGCTACAATAATATACGCCAGCCACCTGGTACCGCCGCTATACGGGTAACATATACCTACCGGAGGAGTATTTCCAGCACACCAAATATGCCAGCAGGAGCTGAGATGGTGGCCCCAGTAACTGAATCATAAATTCAGGTAATTCAAAACAGTGTGGTGGTTGTCATACCTATCATCGCAAGACTCAAAAGACATGACATGCAATGTTTGTAATGCTGGCAGCGCATTGTTGCATTTGAGTTCCGGAAAATCTCTGCAGTTTTTCGATGGTGATAATGGTTGGATCTGCCCCCAGCGTTGTACAGATAAATGCGTTTTCAATGCCCATATAAATGGAAATGATTGTGAGAGACATTACCACTTACACGTCCAACAGAGCCGCTTGCACGACCATGGAAATGAACACACCAAATTGTGCTGGGCGTGGCCCCTTGCTAACCATTTTCGAACATCGGCAGAACCTCGTCCAATTAGACATAACACTCCGAACTCAAACACATTGTTTGTTAATTGGGGCTTTAGGGCGCGCCGACTACTCAGGTCATTTTGCGCCCAGGACTCAAACACACTAATCAGCGAACCCAATACACCATCAATAAAGCAGCAGTGGGCAATATCGCGGGCCCAGTGCGGTGTCCCCACATAACACCGGCGGCTGAATCAACCGGCCATAATGTCGGGGTTCACGGCGGCTGGCTGGGCCAATACTCGAGCCTGGCGTCTGCCAGTGGCACCTGGTGACCGGAAAGGAGGCAGACTGGTGGGGTAGAGGAAGGGAGGGAAGAGCGCAAGGGAGGGGAGCAGATGAGGTACTGATCTAAGAGTCATGATGCTGAGGGCTGTGAAATGACACAGGGTGCAGCAGTTTATGATAATCACATGCAGCAGTTTATGATACCGAGACAGAGTCAACTCATTTTGTGGGCACCTGGGCATGAGCGGATAAAAGGTCGTGATACAAACCACAGGTGATATTATTTACTCAGGGGTCGTGATACTGACCGATGGTCATCATACTGACCCAAGACCATGTCCATGGCACTGGCTCGGGGTCATAATAGCCGTTTTCACGACGGGCTATCCGCATATTTACGTCTGGACAACGAGTTGCGTTGGAGAGGCCGGAAATAGTGGCGATTTCAGGACCGCAAGAATGGACCGTAATTGGAATGATTCTTTTTTAAACCGCGCACTGTTTTCGGCCGGAATTTAATAGTTACTACAAAATATTTTGTAATTACGTTTCCACCAAGAATGAATGCCATCAGGGCTAAATTTTTACTACTTTTGCATTTTGTCAAGAAGCATATGGTGCTGTTATATTGCAGTTTTAGCGCGATTGTTACAAAATATGAAGCGAATAAGCGCCAGTGTAATTCATATACCTACACTGTGTAATTCATCAGTGTCAGAAGTTAACTTGTGGGGAAGCTATGCTAATTGCTCTTGTCCATCCACTAGAAGTTATTAAATATTTTGCTTTGTGTATTCCAAAAGGAGAGGGAACTATTTTATTTGTGCCTTCATGTCTGAATTGAAGGTAGATCATTAAATTTTGGGGAATATTTGTTTCTGGTCCCTAAAAAGCTGTTTCTGGCACCTAATTGCTGATCAGCCCCAAAATGCTTATGTTCTTTGTGATGTGTTCGGAGTGAGGCTATATGGCCGTTTTTGTTGTATGTTTATGTGGAGATTGAATATAACTGTGACCCTGTGCTTGTTTGTATACTTACTATGGTCAAACAGGGAACAGCACATTCACATAACATACTCACCTAGCACCTAAGTCATAACTGTACCCTGCAGGATCTGTACTTGTTCATGTCTCGAGCATTAACAAAGCACTAAAGTAGCTTAGTAATCATTTCCCACATTTTCTGAGCATCTAACATGACATACAGCAGTGCAGAGCAGCTTCAGAGAAGAAACACTTTAAATGCACAGACTCACCAGCCACCCAATGAGCCCGTTCCTCAGTTGACTGTTTCCCTGGATGCAGCTTGGCAAGGTGAGCTAACTATTGGCAAGTTGAAGGTTAGCAGGTAAGATTGAGTTAGGGTGAGTACCTACCTATAACTGGGTGCTACTGCTATGCAGGTCTTGGGTAGGCTGCAAATATGTGTGATGATTGAGGTTAGGTCAGCTGTCGGGTTATTCAGGTATGCTCATTGCTCAGGTCACATTTTTATGGACACTTGGCAAATTAAAAAACTAGCATAACCTAATCTTAGCTGAATCTTGATCTAAGCTAACCCAACTAAACCTACACAACTGCTGACTATAGGAACTAAGCACCTACCTACTTGTGCCTACATCTCATACCATGTCAAAGTAGAGTTCCTTGGTGGAAGATTACCCTCAGTACTTTTTATCCCAGCCCTGTGAACAAAACTAATACTTCTAAGCTCTGAGTCACTGCTGGCCATCCACAGGAAGAAACGCTGAGACTGAGAGCTTTGCCATTGTATATTGGACCAACAATCACTATCACGAATGACTATGAACACATTATATGATCACTATCATTGACAATTTTATAACAATCCTTTTTCAAGAAATACAGTAATGATTAACTTCAAAATCAACATAAAGTGGATTTAGTGATCCAAGCTTTCTCCTCCAGTAGCAATGGAATATCGCATGTTTCATTTGCCAGACACTGAGTACCTGATGCACATTACAATCTGCATAGCATCTAAGCATAGTGAAGCTGCCAAAGTCCATTCATTCTATATTTTTAGCTTGATAATTAGCACAAATTTATCTTGCTGTTGTAAGTTATGGTTATCATTCAGTATTCATACCAATACATCAATATGCACTCATCAGTCATTTTCTGGCATGATCCTGCTCAGCGCGCTCTTCAGTATTGCTCCAAGACCTGCAAATTATAGCTTGTTTTCGGCCAATAAGCTCTTTTAATTTTACTTTTTCTTGCTGATATATGAGCCCGATCAACTTGTGTTTATCAACCAAAATTTCATAACTTTAAGTTCAACTTGATATCAATATTGATATTGTTCAGGAGTCAGACCTCTGTCAGCCTCCTGGATACTTCGGATTGTTTTCAGTCACATGCTTCTTAAATATGATATGTCAATCTTAAGGGATTCAAAACATCCAACAAAACGACGTACAAGAGTACGGAAACAACCAGATAAACTTAAAAAGCGCCTTGGAACGGAGCCAAGTGGTGCTCTCCATTTGTTTGTTTACAATGATTGTAGTGCTGATGTATTTTTAGGACTCTGAAGATCGGCTTATAAAAAATGAAACGTTTTTACAAAATTTGTAAGACAATTAATATTTATCTGAAAGAACTAAAATATTCAAAAGCCAAACACTATGAAATACATAAATCGGAACGAAAAAGTAACCCCAAAATCCAGCCTAATCACCGGCTCCTAAAACAGCAACAAAATCAGCACTTTTCCCCGCAACTCGTTGTCCAGACGTAAATATGCGGGCTATCCGGCGAGTGCACCTGATTGAACCTGATTTGACCAAATCTGCACCTAATTTCTTTTACAGCAAATATCTTTATTTTATGAATTTATTTCAGTGTTTTAATCGATGATACTCTCTGATAATATGACAAAGCAGGCATATAGGCAAATAGTGCAACCCTAGCTGATAGCTACTAAGAGACACACTGAACCTGATTTGACCAAATCTGCACCTGTCTGCACCAGATGTGCACCAAATGTGTACCAGATGGCCGTCGTGAAAACGGCTAATATTGCAGGTTCATAAAACTGACCCAAGTCAAGTCAATACCAGGTCACGACACATCAGCTATTGTTTTATCCACAGACTGGGGTCCAGTGACGAGATGTTGAATAAAACGACTTCATCACATATCAGCTGGCCTCGACTGACGTCACGCCCAAGTTTTACGAATTCACAGCACGCTGTCAGCTGTCAGATGAAATCAAATCACATGCAGCAGTACGGACGGAGAGCTAATAGTTAGGCCGGCACCGCCCGCGCCGGAGGACAACAATACAGACTATGTTAGGTAGGTCTGCTGGTACTGTTCCTGGTTCACAATGCTGCATGGTATAAATCATAATCGAATGCACGGGTATGAAAACATGTCGCAGGAATTATAAATAGGTACACACGTCCAGTGTTAAGCTGTTTCATGAGAAAAAATACTCTCTTTAGTGACTTGGGTGATCTCTTGTCCTTTACATTGAATTATGTAAGCGCGTGCAAGACAAATTGCGATAACATGCATTAAAGGTATGCCCCGTCCCACAACACCAAAGCAATTGGAATCGCGACATTCAGTTGCTCAATGTGAGCAAACACCATCAAAGTGAAAAATGCACAGCATTCCTTGAAATGTACGATGGTGGGAGCTAATATGATGTCTCTGAAGCTCCTGAAAAGGACTAATATCGTACCAAATATATCAACAGAAGAAAAATAACTATTCAGTCGCAATGAAACTGAAAAAAAAAATAGTAATGTGCTTGTGCATCGCAAAGTACCATTCACGCTGAGCTAAACGGAATATATGCCCGGATATTGCTTTGTAGATTAATGTTGAAAAACATGAATGCAACACATATATCTGTTGCCCAGTGTCCGTACCGTATCAAAGACGTGAATTTAAAAAGTTTAATTTAGTTTAATTAAGTTTAATTTCCTGACTAGCATCTCTTGAAAAGGACTACAAGAGATAGTGTAATTGAAAAATTTCCGAGCCGCATTTGAGCGCTTTGAAACGCGGAGATTTTGAGGATGAAATGTCGCTTTAGCTGTTAGCAGTATTTTCGACGAGAAAAAAAATCGCAGTTATGGTGACGCCCGGTATGAATGGTATCGAAACGCATGATAAGCACGAACAATACGAACCAGGGAGATTGTGTATACAGTGAATCGTCAAAATAAGCGAAGTGATTATAAAAAGATTTGCATTTCTACTAATTTAGCACACTGAAAAATACTTCATCTCCCAAGCTTGTTTTTATCATAGGCACCTATCAGCTCGGACAGAATCTCATGAATGCTACCTTTTGTACCTTTGCTTCACATCCCATTCAAGCTTTTCCTAATTAAGACTTTATGATCATCTACCATGAGGTTAATGAGTTTCGCTAACCCCACCTTTCGCATCCCTGCCTTGTGCTCCCAATCCTATCCTCTCCCTCTCTCCTTGTTTGTTTATTGGGGTTTTAGGGCGCGCCGACTTAAGGGTCATTTTGCGCCCATTCTCCCTCCCTCCCTCCTGTCCTCTCCCCCTCTCACCTGTATATCTCCGGCAGTAACGCTGTACACATCCGAATAGAGCTCGGTGTGACTGAGCCGGACCTGGCCGGACCCAGTCAGCTGAAGCGTCTGAGCCGTGATGTGCTTCAGTGGGACCGCCGCTGAAAACAGAGAGGTCAGGTCAGGTCAATTAAGGTCAGCAGCTGGGTCTGGGCAGTGATGTGTTTCAGCGGGGCAGCCGCTGTGAAACAGAGAGGTCAGGTCAGTGCAGTACAGGTCAGGTCAGGTCAAGTCTGATCAGGTCAGGTCAGCTGCAGGGTGTGGGCAGTGGTGTGCTTCAGCGGGACTGCGACTGAGAAAGAGAGGGGTCACGGTAAGTAAGGGTCAGCTCTGTAGGACCCGAGTGGTAATGTGTTTCAGTGGGACAGCCGCAGAAAAATATAGGTCAAGTTGGGTCAGGCCAGTTATCTTGAGCAGAACATGGTGCGATCGAATAGGACTATAGGGCCAGGCCATGCAGGTAAGCACAGTTCAGTGCACGTCAGGTCATGTCAGGTCATGTCAGGTCAGGTTATGACAGCACCTGACACCTGTCAGTTTTGGATAAGTACAGTTCAGTAAATGATAGGTCGGGTCAGGTCACCAAAAGCTCACAAGGTGACGTGTTTTAAAGTGCTGCACCTGAAGAGCACAGTGGACACTGGACAGTCTCCTCTAGCCTCCCTCAGCTCTGTAAAGGTGTCCGAACAAAGGACCGATCCACCTAGACACCTGGTCGATTTCTCCAATGTCTGCCGCGAACGGTGCCAAAACAAATCCATCCCGGCGCTTTAACTGGTTCAGACGAGCGCCACGGTACGCGACAAACACCCACATTTGGGGACCGACACCGCCCCTCGCGGTCGTCACAAGACGCTCCGAACGAACCCAGTGTCTTCCCGGGCGGCTGTTCCCCAGCGGGGTCACGAGCCCCGAGGGTCACACAAGGGTGCGTGCTGTCGCCGTAAGTTTAGATGAAGGGCGGGTGGAGACACAGACAGCGCGGTTGGAATCAATTACGGCCTAGTTCGCAATGGGTGAGTGTTTGTACGTGAAACCGAGCGGAAAAGAAGAGCGTCACGATGCCTGGCACGAGACGAGCACTCTGTTGTAAGGCGGATCTGCAAACTTTTCTGTAACTCTTCCGAGTAGCAGGAGAGTGTCAGGGTATATTGAGTGCGTATTTACAAATTGCAACCGAGCTCCGCCGTAGGGTATTTTTTTCCGCCGTAGTGTATTTCACTTGGTGGATTTTCTACCATACATCTGCCTGAGCTTAGGGTAATTACAATTTGTCCGCGACGTTCAAAAATGATGCACCTTTTTTCGCAGTATAGGATATCGCATGTGCATATTTCTGCCTATTTGGGTGCGCTTTATCGGTTTTTCGTGAGTAACTCGCGTAAAAACCGTCCGATCGCGACGAAACTTTCAATACCCCCGATTTTATCAATTTTACACCTACCCTGAAAATTTCATGACCCTGACCCAAATGACCTTTGACCTGTGACCTATTTCTCGAGACCATGTTTGGCCCGAATCGCGATTCGGCGTATGTCGGCTCGCATTAGCCGCGCGGTTGCAGTCTTCACGTGGTTTCAAGCCTTGAAACATGTGATATGATGCTGGTCCCATGCATTAGGGTGGGTGTCAAGGTCACCTGAAGGTCAGGTCAGCTCAATGACCTTTGATGACCTCGGTTCACTTTTTCGAGTTTTACATGTTTCTAGGCTAGTTTTTGGAGCTGATTTCGAATTTAGCAACCATTTGAACATCACAGGGGGTGTAACGACATTATCCGGACACCTTTCTTCCCGCTGTAAAAGCAAAACAATCTGGTACTTTTTCTTTTAACTGAGCTTGTAGCCACCTTTCATAAAAAAACACACTTTACTCACCTCGTTTACTCACCTCGTTGGTTTCTGCATATCTTTGGAGTGGTTTCAAGGGACAGTCAGAGAGGAAGTGAGGAACCCACACAGTGGCGAATGTTCTGGAGCATTTCAACCAATGGATTTTCCAGCACACTGGCTTTGATGCGGACCAACGCCGTCTAAACCTGTGCCTGCGGTTGAGCAGTGGCGGGTGGCTCTTCATTACCTCCTGCTAAACAAGGGCCCACAGGTTTTCGATTGAAATGGGATCGCGACTTTTTCCAAGTAATAAGCGTTAGCCCAGAATGATTGAAGGTTCTATCGGCATCACTTCCCGTTCTTTTAGGGACTTTTAAGTAGCGCGCCGCCACGCATGAAGACAGCGTGGCTTGAATCAGGCATCAGTGTGCGTTCAGAAACCGTGCCCTCCTATGCCGTCTGGTGGAGCGCCTCCAATCATGCTCCACCACCTTCCCTGGAAAAGCTCCACCCTTGCCTATGGGGCAAAATATAAGGGACAAAAACACAAAACAAGACAGATAAGAACAAAGCAAAATTAACTCATTATCTAATGGAATTCAGGCTGGAGCAAAAACATAGGTAATAGGTATTTATGTCAAATTAGAATGAAAGATTAAAATCAACCTGACCAGGCCTTACGGTCTGACCGGGTCATAACCACCTTACTTCGCCTAACTTGACCCAATTCAACCTAGGCCTACCACAACACCTGCAGAGGTACCTTCCTGGAAAAAATGACGCCCAGGGAGATGGCTGTCCAACTTATTGGAATACTACCATGATTGCTTGTCAAAATGTGTGTCATCAATCATCATGCTCTTGTTTGACAAGTGATGTATAATAAATGTGATATTTAATAGTTATCTCCTGACTGTTGACTGTTGAGTGATCAAAATATTCAAATAATCAGGGTACAATCCTGTGCATAGTGCACACTAATCATGTTGTTTTTGTGTAGGCCTTCTGCACATTGTTGTGTGCACTGCTATGTGCACTATAAAAAAGTGACTGGTGTTACATGACAAAAGGTTGAGCAACTGTGAAGTTCATGCCCTTGGTCTTGCTGGTGCCAAATGCCTATAGCTATAGCAGGATCAGTGAGGGTTGTAGACATGCTACATACATTGTGCATTGAAGATATTGGCACAAAGTTCATCCGTAATTACTATGCTTAACACCTAATGTAAGAAGCGACATAAATGCCCAGATGATAAAGCTCTCTGGTCAACATCACACAAATTTATTAACATACTTTGCAGGTACATATTAACATTCATGGCAAACACTTTCGATTTGATTCAGAAACTAGTTGCTAGTAAGCTTGCATTTTTGTAGGTACAACAACGACCATATATTAAATCATAAAAAACCTTCTCATGGCATTCATCACATACCTTTTTACCGAACAAGTACCTTATACCTAGCTACCATGCAATGATTCTAAAATTTGTCCGCAATCCATCTATATCTCAACTGACACAATGAATTTCAAATACCCTAGCAAAACCTATAACTGTACATAAGAAGAATGCAATACTACAAGAATTATGAATTTCTGAAGTTATTCTCACATGCTGGAATGTTGAAACTCTACTTTTGTTGTCCATTTCCATGTTTGAGCCATCATATAGAACTGTTTCCGTTCTTCAGTCACAAGCTTTCCCACAAATCTTGAATTTTTACACATCATCTTGAACCATGCTCCAGTCTTTCCAACAAGGTACTATGTTACATCAAAGCAATTTTGATTTGTTACAACAGCTTCAGATCATGATAGGCTTGAGGTTTGTTACACCATTTGCCAGACAAATCTATAAAATGTGTATCAATTCCCAAACTAAGTAATTGATCATATCAGTATTTGCAGTTTCCACACAATGTTTCATAATACTATTCTATGTTTATATAAAGAAACTCAAATAATCCACAAATTGTTATTGAAACACTCCCACTTCAAGAATTCACAGCAATAACAGTACAAGTTCGGAAGCAAACAAACATTGCGCCACATTTCGTATGAAACGCGCCATCGTCCTGAAGTTTCTACCACAGACGGTAGTTCAACCGCAGCCGTAGTGTGAAAACCCCTGCCCACCTTACCCCACGGCGGAGCTCGGTTGCAATTTGTAAATACGCATATTGAGTGAAGGGTAGGACGAACTTTGGTAGGAATTTCTAGTATAACTACTAGAAAACCTACTATATGTGGTCGGGACTAGCAAAAAGTTAGTTCAATCTAGAATATGGTAGCGCTTATGGTTGGCAGTCGTGACGCGCACGTGACAATCATTTCTTAAATTTCTTAAATAACAGGTTTTAAGGGCCGATTAGTGGGCCGATACATTCAATTAGCTATTAATAATTGATTATGCAAACATTCAAGAATCTACATCATTTAATTCTAGCCAAAATCACGCGGCGCTCCCAGGATTCGAACTCACGACCCTCGGATCTGTAGCCCGATACACTACCGACTGCGCTACCAAGGACCGCGAACCGACGCTCGGAGAGGCGGATCGCGGGTGCTGGCGTGCAGAGAAATCTTTACCCTGTACGCCGTAGAAGATCGGCTGGGTTTCGTGAAAAATGGTAGAGGAATTGTCGAAAGAAAATTCATCGATCTATCATTTGAGACTAAGAACTATTGATTCCTTCAAAGGTTGACCGAGATATCGCTCGCCGAAAACAGGCCATTTAACATGTAAACCCTATGGGCTGGTAGGAAATGTACGCCGTGGAGCAGCGGTGCTACCAACTAACTTCGGCGGGGGCCGGGAGAGTGTGGCTTCGCAGTTCTAATTTCATTAGCATTACCTTTCACAGGATGAAAAACGAAATGAGGAAGAGACTCGGAAACTTTTAGTTGGGCAAACACGACTTATGACCTGCTTTACAAAACGTTTTGCCCAGCGGAAGTGTTCAATTCGCATTCTGTAGACGAGTAGAAAATGAATTTCCTCTTTCGAGTTCATCTAAAATATACATAAGAGAAAAGAGGTCTAATAGCTGGCAAACGACTAACGACCATTGAAGGAGAAGGCCCAGGCATAGGTAATTTAGGGTGTGTCGACAGAGGGGTTTTTCTCACAGATTCGCGTTAGACAAAGATATAAATTGGCGGGAGCATGCCAAAACACTAGCCCTGCAGTTGGTTTTGCGTAAAAATGCGATTTGACGAGGCTCGGGCAGGTCGAAGTTACAGCGAAAAAGTCGCAGTCGACGGTGCT